ATGTGTTTTTGTAAGAAAAATATCCATATTCAAAATGTAATAATCACTTGAATCTAGCTTGCGCTCACTGTTGTAAACAGAAGCAGTTCCAGGGGGAATGAAGTATGAGAGGTCGCTTTGCGCATGCGCCGCTCAGAAGTGACACGCGGAAACGCAGCGGAGAGATCAAAACAAAACAACAGTCAAGAATTAGAAGTACAAAACGAGGATTTGTAAAGAAGAATGTCAGAGGATTTCGATATAAGCCAAGAGGAGACTGGTTTTCCTTTGCTAAAGTAAGTAAACTTTGCTTACTTTGCTCTTGTTTTCATGAGACTCACCGGCGCATAATACTATTAACTAATAGAGAAGCAAGATTAACTAAGCAGTAAGTAGTAGCAAATTTAGGACAAAGGTAGTTACTTACTTCCTGCATAGTTACTTGTTAACAACGGATCATTATTCTAAAGTGTTACCAAAAATTGAAATGAGATTATGCATAAATCAAGTCAAATGTCTGCATTACAAACATGCCTAGTCACCCAAAACTGAAAAATCTGACATCATTTACTCACCCTCATGTTGTTTCAAACTCTGTATCCAAAGTCATGCAGCTTACATACATGAGGGTGAGCAAAAGATGACAGAATTTTCAGTGACTTGTCCCATAAAACCATCAAGTTTTTATAAGTAGGTCATCACCTGCTCCTCATCACTATATGGGGGGGGGGATTCCAAGATGGCGGAGTGAGCGGTCGCGTTTATGCAGGCTCTGAGGAAAATAGCTTGAAACGTCCTAAAATTGTTATCTCTGACATGAAAATACAATCAGAAAGCCTCATTTTATTTATAGATTTTTTGAAAGCATTCGATACAGTGGAGCATGAATTTATATTTACGACGCTTAGAATGATTGGGTTTAGGGAAGGGTTTTGCAAGGTTATTAAAATGTTTTATAACAACATTTATAGTTACATATCCCTTAATCCAGGTATGACTCCTAGAATTTAGATTTTGCGTGGAATTAGACAAGGATGTCCAATCTCTCCAAAACTGTTTATATTATGCACTCAAATGTTAGCTTATATAGTTGTCAACCATCATCAATTAAAAGGAATAACCATTTCTGATTATGAATATCGAATTAGTCAATTTGCTGATGACACAGTAATATTTTTAAAAGATAAATCTATAGTTAAAAAAGCCCTGAATATTATTTCAGTTTTCTCTAGAGCATCAGGCTTATGCCTAAATTTTAAAAAAAAGTGAACTTTTTCCTTTGTTTTCATGTAATGAAGAAAATATAGAATCCATTCCTGTTAAATCTGAAGTGAAATACTTAGGGTTAATAATGTCTAAAGAAATACAAACAAGAGAATTAGTAAACATAGATGAGAGAATTGACAGTATGAAAAAATCCCTTAATCATTGGCTTATGAGAGATCTGTCTATTATGGGCAGAATCCTCTTGACCAAAGCAGAAGGCATATCTAAACTAATTTACCCATGTTACTCTCTTTATGTTTCTCCTCAACTGATAAAAAAGGTTAACTCTATTATGTTTAATTTTATATGGAAAAAACAAAACTCATTAAATTAAAAAAATTAAGATGATTAAAGAATATAAAAATGGAGGTCTGAAAGCCTCTGAATTTTTGAATCATTGGTTGGAGTACTTAAACTGAATTGGATTAAAATGTATTTAGCACAACCTAACTCAATGTGGTTTCATATACCAAAGTGTGTATTCAAGAAAGTTGGAGGGTTAGATTAAACCTTTAACCCACTTGGGAAAATCAACCCATGGCAACAGTTTAAAAGTAGCCCAATTCTGTGGAAAAAACGCGGACTTGGCAACCCTGCATCCAACAAGAGCTACTGGAGTCAGCTTTGACTGATCACAGGTCGAGAATAAGGAGAGATAACTGACGAGACCATGCTGGAGTATGTGCTGCTCAACAGATCCTGAGCTCATTGACAAATATCTGATCTTGGTGTGATTGCGAAATCGAAAGTGAAAGTAAACAGCGCAAACGCTCATTCAAAAATATTTAAACACACTGCATCCTGAGAGCGACTCCCTGATGCGCCAAAATTATATACAATATTAGAATGTTTAAAGGAGTGGACACGAAAATCACGGGAGCGAAACATGTTGCGGGAGCAGGCGACAATGGTCAGAGATTCAGCGGGAGCGGGATTAAGAAAAAATGAAGAATCCCGGACATTTTGGGCATTTAAGAAATCCCGGCCGGACGCATTTTTGTATGTCCAAAAAGAGGACATGTCCGGGGAAAAGAGGACGTATGGTCACCCTAGGCAACATGAACCGATGATGTTCCAGACCTCCATTGGTGAGTAAAGGGCTGGCGAACAGTTGACTGGGCACCACATGGAGGAAATATACTTGCTAAGATGTTGCCAAACTGGCTAATAGCCTCCTGGTGCATTGCCCGCATCTCCCTGGTCATTTCCAACACTGTTTGTCTTTGCTGAAGTTCTGCCTCCTTCTCCCACTCCCTCTGCATTTGCAGCAGGTGCTCCTCTCTGGCAAAAGAACTTGTCCTCTGACTCATTGAGGTGATTTAGGAATGCAGCACTCATTGCCTGAGCATGGTCTGCCTTAGACATTTTTCTTTTTTTTTCGCAGGGGGATGGCTTGTCATTTCTGGGGTGCCAGTGGCTGTACTCAAGTTAGATAGGATTTGACTAAACGTCACATGCATAATAAATGATCTCTCTGATTTGAAACACGTTCAGAATCAATGCTGTTTATATAATTAATAACGGGGTTCATCAAAAGAAAGCACATGGAAATTTACTCAGCATTCATACATTAATGTATTAAGCTCATGTAATTTAGTGGAAAAACTGAGAATTTCTACATTTCCCCGATATGTGTTTATTTGTCCAGTTGTAAATGAATACAGTTTTATTCATAAATGAATACACATGGTTTTAGAATAATTTACTTTAGGCCTAGGTTTACATGCAACCAAATAATCCGTTTGTAATCGGACTGAAAAGCCTTCATGTAAATGTTAGGTCTGCTTTTATGCGGCATTGCGTCTTTACACTGAATTCTGAGCAGACACAGACCCGCTTCAGAGCAGCCTTAAATCGGCTGTGTAAAGATACTTTAGTTATTTTAAAAAATCATATTTTGTTACCATTTTTTCTCAAGTCTATCTGAGTTTTTTTTTATTTTTATAACTAATACGTACACTGACTATATAATGACAGCATGCCGCTTGGATCACGAACTCAGAAATCCTTCAAAGGCGAGAGTTTAATTAATATTAATTAGGTTATGTGATTGGACGCTGCATCAAAAGTGACCTCTCTGCGTCACTGTCGCCTGATTAATATTCATATTACTCAAGCCTTCGCCATAGTAGGAGATGGTCCTCGCTGCAGAACACAAGCTCCAGATCCAACTCCTCCCACCTTATAAACTGTGTTCCACCGGATATGAACCTGCATACAGGTTTAAATCATTAATTATTCACAATATCATCAGTCAGGATTATGTACTACATGCAGTGAAGCAGAGACTATTGAGCATGTACTTCTACAAGAAAGAGGAGTTATTTAAGAAACTGAGAAACATAGGAGTATTTAATTTCACTATATCAAAACTTTTAATAAGTATTATGAAAGAAATTCTTAGTTATCTGAAGATAACAGGATTAGAAAGTAGAATTAAAATGTCATATTAATAATACCCATTTTCCCCTCTCTTTCCCGCTAATGCTTCACACTCCAGTCCAGTAGGTGGCGGTAATAAACCATAAGTTGGCTTGTCAACCTCCATTACATCGTACAAGAAGAAGAAGAGCCTGCTATATATTTGTGAAGTTCCAGGCCGTGGTCGCCAACGTTTGCTCTTATCAATGTAAGTCTACATTTGATTAATAATATAGTCGAGATAGATTCATAATGTAGCGTACGCCTGTAAGTAATGATCACAGTTTTAAATAACACTCTTAAAATAACAGGGAAACATCCAAATGGGTTATGTGAACAATTTCATGTTGAAGAAACAATACCTCATGTATTTCTTGAATGTAGCAAGTATGAACAAGAAAGAAGAAAAATGATAGTAGAAATAAGGAAAAATGGAATTCAGGATCTTAATTTTAAGGTTTTAATAAAATGGGCAAGTGAAATAAATAGTAATGTATTCTTTGATTTTATAAGAGAGACGGGGTTGATAAATAGAATATAAAACTCTGTTCCACACTCCGGAGCAGAAGGTGGCGGTAATGCACCTATTTGCATTGGTGCCAGCCGCCGGTAAAAACCAAGAAGAAGCATGATCACAGTTAAAGATGTCAATGTTTTGATGGTGTCCATACTATTTGATAACGCCAAGACATGTTTAAGTAACTTTAATAGCGCTAAGGACAAATGATAGTAGAAATCAGAAAAAAATGGAATTAAGGATCTTAATTTTAAGGTTTTAATAAAATGGGCAAGTGAAATAAATAGTAAAGTCTTCTTTGATTTTATAAGAGAGACGGGGTTGATAAATAGAATATAAAACTCTGTTCCACACTCCGGAGCAGAAGGTGGCGGTAATGCACCTATTTGCATTGGTGCCAGCCGCCGGTAAAAACCAAGAAGAAGCATGATCACAGTTAAAGATGTCAATGTTTTGATGGTGTCCATACTATTTGATAACGCCAAGACATGTTTAAGTAACTTTAATAGCGCTAACTTACGGTGGCCGAGAAGTGCAAAACAAATCACAATTCTGAAAAGCTTTTCAAATCTCGTATTAGCAATGGATTCTATTTACACTATATTAAAATAGCAGGATTTCTACTATCAAGTATACTACTTGTTGCAAATAGTGGCAATTATCTGCACTTCAGTATTGTAGTACATTATAAAACAGTATGCAATAATAACGTATTGAGTGTAAATTATAACCACGGCTCTGCTGTTCTTCGGCTGGTTCTTCCTGTATACGTTGATTGACAGATGTCTCGTCCAGTCAGCGGTGAGTAATCCCAAACCAATGGCACTGTCTCAAACTATACCTACCTCTTCCGGTTTGTCTGATTTGTCGTTGTGTTTTCTGACTTGTTATTTTGTTTTCAAATTTGTCATTGTGTTTTCTGACTTGTTATAATGTTTTCTGAATTGTTGTTGTGTTTTCTGAATTGTTATTTTGTTTTTTAGACTTGCATTTGCGTTTGTAATTTGTTATTTTGTTTTCAGAATTGTGATTTGCTTTGCACTTCTCGGCCACCGTACTAACTAGATAACAGCTAGCGCGCATGTGTATAGCTCTGCAGAGGTGTCCTATCTAATTAAGTTAGCTAACTTAGTTAAACTAATTAGCGTTGGAAATACAGCTGGTATGTTTAGATGTTTACGGCTATGGTAAGCTAACATGTGGACTGTTGTCAGCGAGGTAGTTTACACGTTACCCACTAGCCAGGTTACTCATCGCTAACTTGGCAAGAAATAACATTTGAAGTACATTTAACGTTGTCCATAGATGCACAGAACAGTGTTGCGGCATGAGAAGATCACCCTTCAGAGATGCCAGAGCTGTTGCTCTAATTACCATTGCCCGTTCTGCAGACCAAAAGTGTTCAAACCCGCCATGGAACGTCACGTGGTGGAGAATCATGTCCGCAACCACTTATCTTTGGCAGTACAGCATGAAGGCAAGTTGACATAGATTTTTCTTTATTCGTAGTCATTGTTTATACTATTTTACTGACATTAACGGTTGCTCATTAGCCTAATTTGTTTAATGTAGGGCTGCACGATAAATCGCATGCGATATTTAATGCGCATCTTGTCAGTAAAGCCAGTTCTGTAATCAGCGTTAAATCTCCATCACCTGCGTGCTTTCACATTGAGCAGCATTTACTACACAGAGCCGTTGTTCACTGACAAGCTGCGCAAAACATGCGCAAAATATGATCGTGGTTTTGCGCAGCTTGTCAGTGAACAACGGCTCTGTGTAGTAAATGCTGCTCCATGTGAAAGCACGCACGTGATGGAGATTTAACGTGCGAAATCATGCGATTTATCATGTAGCCCTAGTTTAATGTAAGTTATTGTAACGCTTGAACAATACAATCACGTATTGTTGACCTTTTTTTAGCATGCATCTTTCATTAGCCTATGTCATAAGTCATACACTGAATTAAGTTATCTTATCAGTAATATAGTCATAATCCAAATAATGCATTAATTGTTCATTTATTTAATCAGTTATATCATGCCTGCATTACCACAACTTATGCCACTTTTACTAAAGTGTTATCCCTTTATTTACTCAAATTCTTTACTGTTAAAATTATTTACTGTAAAATTCAAATATATATATATTTTTTTGTTTTCATTTTCAGAATTCCTGATTGTCAAGTGCAACTTGCAGTGTAGAGAACAGGCACATTTTCACTGTTGTTATTGCCCAAACACAGTTATAAGGAAAGTCCAGATTGTACAACATTTAGCATCATGCAAAAAAAGACAAGTTCCACCTACAGAACCAGCCACTGATGAGCCAGCTACAATCAATGAACCAGTTGTTCCCAGTGAACCAATAGTTCCCAGTGCACCAGTTGACATCAATGAACCAGTTGTTCCCAGTGAACCAGTTGCCTTTAAAGAACCAGCTGTGGCTGAAAGAGTCCCCTTGCCTGTTAAATCCCTGCTTGTTCCCCAAAAATCGCGTATTCAGAAAAAAGTGCAGTGCGGTCACTGTGGAATAACCGTCAACAAGAAAAATCTAGATGTTCATGTTAAAAGAAAACACACTGGTAAGATCTGTGATGTTACAGAAGATCGTCACCTACCTTCACAGTGCATCGACCCAGTGAGTGGTATATATGCGGTTGAAAAGTCATTTCGCAGACCATGTTCTGTAATCCACGTACAGAAAAAAAACTCAGGTCCACATTCAGTTGTCGCATGTGAAATGGATGAATGCATTTCCAAATTAGAATTTGCCGCTCGAAGTGGCTTTCAGCACTTTGAGTGTATACATTTGAAGTCACTGCAGTTCTGTCCATGGCCCAACAGGATACCAGTTGTCCTTGATGAAGATGTCCTGGCAGACATGATAGCCACAAATGTGTTTGGGGAACAGACCAAGACAGCCTGCGTGGCTACAAAGGCAGCAGCAAGTGCGGCTGGTGTTCCACTGTCTGTTGAGTTGACTATTGGAGGTCCTTCTACAAAGAAGTATATTTCTGTGTATGAACCCAAAGTGTCATACTACGGCAGACTTGGTAGAGTCATTGCTTCCTATGACAGCACTCGCAACACATGGCATTGTCCCTGTGCAAAGCCAAGATCTTGTTTGCACAAAAACATAGCCAGGTGGCATCTTTTCCAGCTACACTGCCAGTTGTTTGTATCATCACCCATCGACAGACCTGCACAGGGCCTAGCACAAGAACATGCTTGTCAGGAAAGTACCAGATTGGAATATCCCCCGCAGTGGTGAAGGTCTCAAACAGATGGTGTATTACCTGATGAAAAACAAAACTCTGCCAGCCCGAACTCCCCCAGAAATACATCACAGGCTCAATGACAATCAATGACATTCCCAAATACCTTGTGCCAAAAGAGACTGTTTGCTCTGAATGTGGTCCTAAGTGAGCCAGTGTGATTACTTCTAAAGGAAAGCTTATAACATACACTGGCGTTGTTGAGGGTGAGTATGAGTAAAGTCTATCTAATTAGTGTAACATCACTATGTTTAGCTGTTTGAATGAATTCTTTTTTTGTGATTTGAATACTTTTTTTTTTAAACAGGATTTTTTACATACTACCACATGTGCAGCAGCTATGGTCTAAAATACCGTTATCAAGAGTGGACTGATGGTCTTCACAATGTTGATGATCATTTGCCGATGTCATTACACACGTGCATTATCCTGTGCCATTCACTCCAGGTTTGATATTATTGAAGGAATGAATTATATGGTGTTCTTTTAAAATGTCTATATGCTCAGTAGCCCCTCGCTGCAGAACACAAGATCCAGGGGGCGGGGTTAGATCTCCTCACACTGCATTTTGATTGGACATATGGCAGATTCACGTCATACTTACTCGCGCTGTAAAAGTTGTGAAGTACTATCGTTTCCGCATCGAGTCGTAAATAAAGTTATTGTGACGGAAAAAACAAACTTGCTAAAACATTTTTTTTAAATAACGTTTTAAATGCTTAGTTACAAACACTGTAGTTTGTACAATGTGGGAATGGGCACAGATAATTACGGGCAATAACCAAATATTTTCATTTGGAGAAACGTTTGCATTAACTTCAAAACATTCTGAGTCTGCCTACCAAAATACAAATAGAATCTTACGTTTCTCCATCCCTGAAAATCCCGTAGTTTCTTGTTACATGTGAGAATAAATATTTCTTAAAATCAAGTGCATTCTTTGATTGGCTGATTCTTCACTCCTCTCAGTAGTCCACTTTGACTTCAAATACTTGCGTAGATTAAGAAGTAGCCACATCTGCTTTTATTGGAGTGATGTTAAATCAAGTTTCTACTTGAAGTAGAAAATATGTGTGCTTTGCACCGATTATGCACATTATTATAAAACTGTATATGACTAAAGTATAGCAGCACTGTCAGGTTGTCTTCTGTAATTTTCTATTTATAAATTGCTTCTCAATGGCATCTGACTTAATTTACATAATCTCACTTAAATAAATGCATGCAAAATGCATTACCAACACAATGAAATAGAAAAAAACCATGAACACACAACAGAATAACATACCAACATTAGCGGCATTCAAAATGAGAACTCGCACAGAATTAAATGATAAATCACTCCTTCATCTTTCATACTGCTCTGCAGCCACTGCATCATGCACACAACACACTCAAATAAGAGCACAGATTTAGCAGAACTCGCTGCAGAAGTCTGGGTGGGTGTCTTCACGAATAATAAGTTCCCCCTTTCTTCCTCGACCTACAGATCCTACAGGTTTGCAAAGAAAGGAAACAACGAAAAGAAATATTTCAATGTTCATCATTTTTCTAATGTTTTAATTCATCTTTGAAAGCTAAACACTCCATGGCAACAACTAACAATGCATACCTGGAGTGAATATGTCTCCACACTGCATACAAGTTTCCAGTCGGTACGTTTTGTAGTGCTCTGCCTTGTAGCATGTGGAGAAAGCAGTCCAATTTGTGACTCCTGTACACATGTGAAAGTACACGCATTCAAAAACCCACAAGGCTGGAATTCATTAACCAGCCGTTCAAGAATCTCTTAAGATTTGTATAAAAATATGCAACAAGTTATGCAAAAACTACTAGTTACGCACCAATAAAAATGTCCTCCAGAACAGATGCTGGCAACTGTGAAATATGAAAAAATACGAAAGAGAAGATATTGGCCCCAATGCCCCGTTCTGGAATGTATCTGTCTTTGTTCTTGGTATACATGCATGTAGTGTGTAGAAATGAAAGGATAGCAGCCCGTCTGTTTTCATTGTGAAGTAACTAACAGGGTGATCCTGACACAGATGAAGTCAAGATCACATAAACACCACTCCCTGTGCAACAAATACAAACACCAGTATGCTGAGAGTTAACATTTCTGAAACGTACAATTGCTAGTACAACCCTCTACGCACACCTTGGCAATATAATCGCCATTGGCTAGTACATTTTTTAGTTTAGTCGCCAGACTGATATACTATTTTACACACGCATACATGGGTCAAAGACGTTAAGATGTCCGCATCAAAAGAAATTTACAAAAGTGATTTTATGTCCACAGAAAGCACATTAAATGTAAGTAAAGTGTCTACTTTTAAGGTTTCAAATCAGTTTTTGGAGAATAAAATGTCAAAATTTGGTTGAAATAATGTTACATTGTCATTCAGTGTAACACAATATTTATGTACAAATTCAAACAACATGCTTATTCTGACGTGTACATATTCAAATATATAAAAGAATAAGGGAGCATATACAATTTTATTGTGTTTTAAATGAGTAAAAAATTCTTACTGACAAATGGGCAAAACCTAGGATAGAGGCGCATTTAAAAAATTTAAATTTACAACTAATTAGTATTTGGGGTGAAAGTAATTAGTCTTTTAATATGTCATAAATTGATTTTTGTTGTAAATATGCCTGACAAGATTGTTACACTGAATGACATTTTAGTGGGTCTCTTCTGTAAATCAGGGGAAAATGTATGATATTTATTTTTTGTTCGGAAAAACAAAAATAAAATTGCAATTAAATTAAACAGAAAACGTTTTAATTTTTTTGGGAAAAACAACAATTTAAAGCAGCATTACACTTATTCGCCTTTATATATATATATATATATATATATATGATTTCACCAAACAGCTTATCTTTGTAAAATGGCACAGCTTCTTAAATCTTAGCTTCTTATATGATTAATATGATTAATCAGTTAATCATATTATATTATGACAATTAAGCACGATTTAATTATTATTCATTGTGGTAGAACTAGTGAATTGACTTGGTAACCATGTATGAATGCATATTTGTCATTTTAACTGAAATTAGGACTGGTGGTGGTGTTTAAGATATTGTTGGTCATAGGTAATAGTAATTATTATTAAAAGATACTACTACTACTATTATTATCTGCCATAAGATATTGTTGGTCATTCAGGGTTTCTGTTAAAAAAACTGATAATAGTTATTATTATTAAAAGATAATACTACTACTAACAATATACAACGCACTAAGGATTGACGAGCTGCTGGGTTCATGAATATTAATCACGTTGTCAGCGTTGCCTCGAACTGATTTGCTGAAATCAAAACAGCCGTTGAGAACACTCCCATAGGTTTCCATAGGAACTGAGGAATGCGGAAGTAAAGCGTGTCATGGAGCAGCCAATCGTTCCAGTATTGAAGCCCATTCATTTCAGTGCTTCTCAAGCACACTCACACACACACACACACACACACAGAGAGTGTGAGAGTGTGTGTGCGTGTGTGTGTGTGTGTGTGTGTGTGTGAGAGTGTGTGAGTGTGTGAGGTTGTGTGTGTGAGTGTGAGGTTGTGTGTGTGAGTGTGAGTGTGTGTGAGTGTGAGGGTGTGTGTGTGTGAGTGTGAGTGTGAGGGTGTGTGTGTGTGTGTGTGAGTGTGTGTGTATGTATGGTGTTCCTTGATTTCCAGTTCATGAGGATAGTTTTCTTGGCGATAGTTAGAGCCACTAGGAGTAATTGACTATTTGTATTGTTTAAATTGATTATGGATATGTCACCTAATATACAGAGGGAGGGAGACAATGGGGTGTGATACTGAGTCAGTAACGTTTTCCCAAAATGTTTTAATTGAGGAGCAATGCCAAATGGTGTGAAAATAGTTGTCTGGGGTGTTTTGTGTACAATGTAAGCATGTTTCTGAAGTAAAACCCATTTTAAATAATTTTCGTCCATAGATGAAATCTATGAAGTACTTTATACTGTGTAAGTTGCAGGTTAGCATTTTTAGTCATGAAGTAGATATTTTTGCAGATTTGTGTCCAGAAGGCGGCATCGGGAGTAATAGATAAGTCTGATTCCCATTTAACATTTGGTAAACTTAATGTATTGTCTGATTTTGATATCATTCTGTATATTTTGGAGAGTAGTTTTTTTTAGTTCGATATATTAATTAGCGCTGAGATTGGAGGGGAAAGGTCTAGGTTAATTGCTCTAGTGTCAATCTTTGATTGAATTAATGATTTGATTTGTGAGTATTCCAAAAAACAATTACTCCCAATGCCGTATTTCTGGACCAAGTGGGAGAATGGTGCCAGGTTATTATTATGAAAGATATGCTGAAGTTGTGTGATGCCCTTTTCTGCCCATGTGCGTAAGTTGAGTGGCTTCTTGTTAGCTGTAAATTTCTGGGTTATTCCAGATCGGGGTGTATTTAGATGGTGCAAGAGGAGTGTCTGTGATTTGATGAAATTTCCACCAGGCTGTCAGAGCTGCTGCTATTGTCGGCATTTTAAAACAGTGATGATTTTTGATGGTCTGATTGAAGAAGGGTAATTCTGAAGTGTTAATGTCCTTGCAAATTGTTTGTTCAACGTCTAGCCATGTGCTTTCTGATGAGTCAGGGTGAATCCATTTGTGTATATTTTGGAGCTGATTGGCCAGAAAGTAGTGGTAAAAATGTGGTGCTTCCAGTCCTCCTTGTATTTTTGGTTTCTGTAGGGAAGTCAATTTGATTCTTGGGGTCTTGTTTTTCCAGTAGAATTTGGTAATGATTGAATCTAGTGATTTAAACCAGGAAAGGGTGGGGTGTGTTGGTGTCATTGTAAATAAATAGTTTAATTTAGGGAGTATAGTCATTTTAATTACTGATATTCTGCCCATAATAGATAGTGGTAGGTTCATCCAGTGTTGAAGATCATCGTCTATTGTTTTAAGTAATGGAGTGTAGTTGAGTCCAACCAACTCTGACAGCCTGGGGGAAACATTAATACATGTGATGTAATTGGTGCACAGAGGAATTGGTGGTGTCTGGGATGTCACATCCAAGCTGGTGGAATGTAATGAAAGAATAGCAGAATTACTCTAGTTGATTGAGTATTCAGAAATATTTGAGAATGAGTCAGTGAGTTTAATCGTTTCTTGTAGTGATGGTGGGGGGTCTTGTAAATATAATAATATATCATCAGCATAAAGACTTATTTTGTGGTGTATATTTAGTGTTTGAATTCCTTTTATGTTGCTGTTTTGATGGGTGGCTGCTGCTAATGGTTCGATGAAAATGGTGAATAGTGAAGGGGAGAGTGGGCATCCTTGTCTAGTCCCCCGGTGCAGTGTGAAGCTACGTGATGTTAGTCCATTGGTAGTCTTGCGTAGCCAGAACTTCAGACTGACGGCTGAAGGTCTGGAATACTTGGCAGCTTTCATTGGCCAAAGCCCACCCATGAGGCCGTTTGATCGACATGTCAAACAACCAATCACAGTTCGTTTCGTTTCAGCGTCACGCTTCGGGGTGTGGAAATGTCGCCACAATAACAGACCGGTGTGTAAAACTCTCGGATGTATTTTAAAGATTCTGTGCCGCGAACTTTAAATATTTCACATACTTTTGAAAATCCAGCGTTTAGTTGATCCTGATAAGCGCTCGTCGTCACAGTTGTAAACACGACGGCTTTCTTCTTTCGTGAGGGGGTTTGTCGTCTATGGAAGGCCAAAAGGGTCAAAAACACGTGAAATTGTGTTTTTGACCCTTTTGGCCTTCCATAGTCGTCACGGCATCTTTGTTTCCAGGCGGAACGTTACAGAACGCGACACACACATCTCCCGGAAATCCTGTATAATTCAACCAATCCGATGACGACTTTGAAACTCCTGAAGTGTTTCCACTTTTGTGTGCCATATGCATCAGACGTTTAGCCAATGGTCCA